CGCCGCCCCCTGGAACGCATTCTCCGGGCCTCCTTCCCTAGCGCCTCTGCCACGTCCGCGACCTCTGCCTCTGCCCCCTCGAGTCCGTGCGCTGGCCGCGGCCAGCTGTGGAATTCCGCTACCGCCTATTCCCACGTCTCGCCGCGTCCGTGCATCCTCGATCACCTGCTGCTGGCGCGTTCGCCGCGATGGCGACTGAACTGGAGAAGTCAGCGGTGGACCTAGGTCACACCGCTGAGAGCGCGAACGCCCCGTCTCCGGCTCCTGTTGCTGCTCAAGCTGCTGCTGCTGCCCCCTTGGCCCCCCTGGCTCCTCCTGTCGCTGTTGCGACGTCCCCGGCTCTAATCCCGCCGGTGTCGGCCCCCCCGCCAAGTCTTCCCCACGTTGTTCCCGCGATCGGCGCGCCGGTTCCCGTTGCGCAGCCGTCGCTTGTGGCGCCGCCGACTGGCCAAGCTGGCGCCGGGGGCCCCGCGCTGGGGACAGCGGCGAGCGCAGGCCCGGACCCTGCCCTCCAGGTGGCCCCTGCAGCTGCGCCGGTACATCCCGTCGCGCAGCGTCTCGCGGAATCTCAGATACGCGGTGCCGCGGGGGGCAATGCGGCTGCACATCGGGGGCGCGGTTCTCCTCGCCGTCGCCCCTCGTCGTCGTATCGATCGGCGCACCGCGGGGGCCGCGGTGGCTGGTGGGGAGGTCACGGTCTCGGGAGCGGTGGGCCGAGCGAGATGCAGCAGTTTCGCGAGGATTTCCCGGGGATGCTAGCTGCGGCGATGCGCAATGCGTTGAATGGCGCACAGAATCTTGGAAGCTCCCAGGTTCCCGCCGCTCCAGCTCCCGCATCGGCGCAAGTGATTGCGCAGGCTCCGGCCGCGCCCCTTGCTGCTCCTGCTCCGCTCGCCTCGGCGCTACCGCAGGTTCAGACTCCTGGTGATCATCGTGCCCCCCCTGTCCCTGTGCGTCCTGTTTATGCCGCGCCCCATCCCCCTCTGCCCTGGATTCCCCCACTCCCGGACACGGGATTTGTGGGGGCGGGAGGCAGAGTGGCGAGAGGGGCGTTTGTCCCACCACGACGTGTTGTTGATGCTCCGCCCGTGCAGCCTCCACCCCCGCTTCCGGTTCCCCTTGCGGCACTGGCGACCGGCCTGGCCGAAGTTCCCACGGCGACCCTTGCTCAGCTGTGGCGCCTGACGGAGTGTCAGCGGGCCCTGTCACTGATTCTGGTGAATGCTCATTTCGCCATTCTCCAGAGCCCAGGGAGCACTCTCGGTCGTGGGGCGCGAGCTGATTGTCAGGCTGCAGCTGCGCAGCTTGCCTTCCTCCTCCTACCCGTGCTGGCAGCGCCCGCGATGGGAGGCGTTGCGGTTTCTGAACTGGACGTAACGGTCCAGGGTCTGACCGCACACCTCCAGGCTGGTGGCGGGATTGAAGCCTTAGGCGCGACCGCGTTAGTGGTCCAGCAACTGTGGAGGACCATGCGTGGTATCCTCGCGGCGCTGGATGCCCATCAGATGTAGTTTCTGGCACCCGCCGCACGTAGACTCTTTGCATTTCTTGATCTAGTCGCTGATAGCGTGGCCCATGGGTGTTTTGTTGTGTCTGCTTATTGTTTGTGTTGCTGTGAATCCTTGCCACCCCTAGGCACGCGGCCGAAGGCCGCCGGCGCGAGCGCCGCTGAAAACTGGCACCAAACGAACTAATGGCAGAGAAATGACCCCAAGGGCCCTATATATAGCTAGAGGGCAGAGGCAGAGGCTAGAGGCAGAGGCTAAGTCCTCTCTCTCTCTCTCTCTCTCTCTCGAGATCTCTCTAGAGATAGAGCTCTCTCTCTCTCTCTCTCTCTCTCTCTCTTTCTCTCTCTCTCTCTCTCTCTCTCTCTCTCTCTCTCTCTCTCTCTCTCTCTCTCTCTCTCTCTCTCTCTCTCTCTCTCTCTCTCTCTCTCTCTCTCTCTCTCTCTCTCTCTCTCTCTCTCTCTCTCCAAATCCCCTGCCTGCCTTTCATTGCAGGCGACTGCTGGTGTTCCCACGTGGAAACACGCAGGCAGAACAGCTGTCACTGTACCTCGGCATGGCAGACGCTGCCACTCTGCCACCTGGTTGGACCAAGAGCGCGCAGTTAGTCTTGTGTGTGATCAACCAGTATGATAGGAAGAATTCAGTTCGCAGAGGTATGTGTTTGCGTGTCAGTATAGACGTCTTATGAATGAACATGTGTGGTTGCTACTAGAGGGATATGGATTGAGTGTGTCGGAGAGTCGAGTGGGTGAGGGCGCGGAAGGGGACGAGGGGAATATAGGTGAAGGGTGAGATCCAAGCCACGGCCACTGCAGCTAGAAGACCTACTCCAGACCCTGAAAGTGGGGTATGTGTCCACAGGGAGGAACACGGTGGGGGTGGCATGCTGTCAGATCATGACAATGCATGGTCTCTGATTGTACCTGTTGCCCCCGGTGTTGTGACATTACCCGTGTCTCATTCGTTGTCTCGTTCACAGATACGGTGCCTGCTTTGTCCATGTCCCCTAATCTCCTCCTCGTTCTCTGCATGACTATCCCAGATACAAGCCACCAGTTCTGCGCGAGGGAGAGCGACAGGGGCTTCACCTCCTTCATGTCTCTGCAGGACCTCAACGACCCCTCTAAAGGCTTCCTCGTTAACGACACAGTTATTATCGAGGCAGAAGTGAACGTGCGTGCCGACTTGTCGGCACAGCCAGCAGACAATTGTAAGGAGACTACGGGATTCCTGGGGCTGAAGAACCAGGGGTGTACGGGTTACCTGAACGCATTGCTGCAGACGCTTTACCACATCCCGTTGTTCCGGGCAGCCGTCTACTGCATACCGACTTCAGAGGACGATAACCCCGCCAGCACCATTCCGTTGGCTTATTCTTCTGCATAGCCACAGTGTACCTCGATTATCTCCGACTACTAGGTAGGAATGTTAGTTGTGTTGTGGGGCTAAGTCATTAGTTCACAAAGGGCAGAGGCAGGTATGAACTTTGCAAGTCCCCCTACATTTCCTTTTCACTAACCAGGTTGGCCAGCTGGGAGATTCGGTCAGTAGAACCCTCAGCAACATGCACCTCCACCTTTTTCTTGAAGAGGCGCCTCCCAACCCTGTTAGTCAACCACTCACTGCTGGTCTGGAGACGCTAGTGGTAAAAATCCAAGTCCATGGTTCACCAACCACTATGCCTGCCAACGCGCTTTCATCACTCTCATTCCACCGCCTACAATCTGCCCCTCTTTGCGCTCCCTTTCCTCAAATTCACCCCTATCCCTCTCAAGAAATTAAGTTTCATCCACACTTGATGTGTGAGCCCGTAAGCAAAACGGCCACGTTCCGAGCTAGCCAGTTGGAGGACGGTGACATTCTGTGCGTGCAGAGGGCTCTGAGCCCATTGGAGAAGGGCTGCTTGCAGTGGCCTGACGTGCCCTCCTTCCTCGAGCATGTGCTGACGCAGCAGCTGGTGCGATTCAGACGACTGGACGAGCCCAAGGAAGATTCGTTCTGCCTTACGCTGTGAGTTGCATCTCTGCTGTGTCTGATAGTGGTGTCACCTGTTCTGTTTCAGATGCTGGGTGTCGATCACTTGTGTTATGTGTTACCTGTTTCGTGCATGGCTTACAAGTATGCACTCAGCGTTTCCAAATCCAGGGTCCGTCTGGTTGAACCTACATACCTCAGTGCGGTTTCTGGTCAACTATCATCTCCCCCAACAACCCCTCCTTTTTCCTAAGGAGGTCATTGAAATGGTAGTGTCGGCTAGCAGATTATGCTGAAAGTAGACATTTCTCCCATTATTTGTTTCCCTCCAACAAACTTTTGTCGCCTCTTCGTCAACCCTTCCCCCGCCTTCGCCCCCTCCTCAATCCCCCTTACCCACTTCCCCCCCCCCCCCCCCCCCCCCCCCTCCCGTCAGTTCTAAGCAGGGCACGTATGACGATGTGGTGCGTGAGCTGGCAGAGAAGCTTGGGCTACACGACCCTTCAAGGATCCGCCTCACTGCGCACAACTGCTTCTTGCAGCAGCCGAAGCAATCGCCCGTCAAGTTCCGCGGTGTTCACTGCCTCACAGACTTGCTCACCCACTACGGCCAGGTACCCACACTGACCTGGTGTAGATAGATGTCCATTAAAACGTAGGATGCACAAAAGCATGGATTCTGCAAGAAGAATTCGTGAATTCATTATCGGTATATTTTAGCGAGATGGCCTTATTTCTAGAAAAACATCTGGTGGGAAGTATGTCTGGTTTGCTAATCCTGTGCCACATCCCTGTCTCACTTATTGTGTCTCTGATGATTCATCAAATTGTCTCAATTTGACATCTGAAACGTTATGTATTCCGTCTTCTCTTCCTACTCCACGTTTTCCCTGAACCTCAGACGACTGATATTCTATACTTTGAAACGTTAGACATTCCGCTGCCCAAGCTAGAGCAACACAAGTCTCTCGGCGTTGTCCTTTCTGACATAGAGGCAAGTAAGGTGTGCTCACACAAAACGGGTGGTGAAATTATCGACAAATATTAATGATGTACAAACCTGGCGGAATCAACAACGCATCTGTATGGGAAAAATAAGCATAGACTACCTAGCTGAGTTGGCACTAATGCATTTGTGTGACTGTCTCCCAACCTATTCCTCCCACTGCAAGTTCAGGAAACTTGAATCGTCTTGCGGATGGGGTCTGGAGGCTCATTCTGTAACCTCAGTGGGAGGTAGTTCGTCAACTCTATTCTTGATTCAAGTTGTACGGCGGGGCTAATCATCGCATCTCTTCAGTGCTGACCAGGCTGGAGGGTAGATAGGGCAGGAGGATCCTTGCTTGAACTGATTCTCAGGGTAAACAATATTGCTTCCACTGACACTCCAGAAAAAAATGTTCTCTTTACCCTTTGTTAGGTACAACATGCACTGTCGAATTCTGCACTCACAAGTGCCAACGATTATATTCTAGGAAAAAAAAAAAGTTTAGCTCCTGTTTGCATAGGAGTTTAAGGATGAAGAAAAACGGTGCTGGAGCCTGAGCCTTAAAGTTTGTAAGAACTACCGGTAGGTTTAAAATTTATGGTTCAATGTTCAAGCTAGAGCACAGAGGTTTAAAAGGGATCATAACATACTCAATCGCTTGAACTGAATAGAATGTGGAACTTCAGGCCCTCCATTAGCGCGTACTGCTTCCAGCAATGCTTGGTGGCATGGCAGCTCACTCACACAAACCAGAAGCAACTTCTTCTGCAGCAAGCTGTCGACACGAGCACACTAGTTGCACGGCTCGTCGCACGGGCCCGATCTCACGGGGCTGATCCCATGGCACGGCTTCGTACAGCATGACGTACTATTCCTTCCCTCCCGCCCTTCCCCTGACGCTGTGCACCTGTTGCGAACCTGGGGTTTCGACTCGCTAGCTGCAGCTGTGCCTTGCGTGTTTTCTTGAGACACATTTCAACCCAGTTTCCCACTGATTTTGGAGTCTCGCGCAAGAGCCTGCGGATTCGTGTCCTTAGCTGCATCTGCACCGTTTCTATGCGTTTCTGAACTTCCCTCTCACCGTTACACTAGAAGTTTCATCATACTTATTTTTCGACATTACAAGAGCTACACTGTTATTGAACATACACCACTATCACAGCTACACCGCTAGAATTCGAGATAATGGATCTCACCGTCTCTCTCATCCCCGACCGTTCCTGCTGGGTGCGCCTCCCCCTCCATTTCCTCCACTCCCTCACCCTCTCGTCCTCCTCCGACGAACCCCCTCCCGCCCCTCTCCTCCTCGACCTTCGCCGAACCTCCCCTCCTCCCTCCTCCCAACTCTCGTCTAACGCGTCTTCCCATGCCTCTTCCCGAGCCTCTTCATCCCGAGCCTCGGCCAAGCCGCTCTTTCTGGCTTGGGGCGGAGCTGCGGCAGCAGGTTCGGCGCTGGAGGTTCCGCGGGAGTTGGGGGAGTGTCTGGGGCTGGCGGAGGGGGAGGGGGTGCGCGTAAGGGTGCGCCTGTGGGGGAGCATTCCGCCCGCGGAGGCTGTACACGTGGCACCTGCCACGTCAGACGACTGGGAGGTGCTGGAGCTGAATCCGGCGCTCCTGGAGGAGACCATTCTGCAGCAGGTGGGTTCCTCTAGGGGAGGTGGGTTCCAGGGGGAGGTGGGTTCCAGGGGGAGGTGGGTTCCAGGGGGAGGTGGGTTCCAGGGGGAGGTGGGTTCGGGGGGGAGGTGGATACGACTGGGAGGTGCTGGAGCTGAATCCAGCGCTTCTGGAGGAGACCATTCTGCAGCAGGTGGGTTCCGGGGGAGGTGGATTTCGGGGAAGGTGGGATATGAGGAAGGTGGGGTTTGAGGAAGGTGGGGTTTGAGGGAGGTGGGATTTGAGGGAGGTGGGATTTGAGGGAGGTGGGATTTGAGGGAGGTGGGATTTGAGGCTCCATTCTGCAGCAAGCGGGTTCTGGGAGAGTTCATTAAGGGAGACCATTCCATTCCACCCATGATCCTGGGGACAGGGGCGCAGCTGTGCAGTTTTTCCGCCCCTGGGCGCACAGAGCTACCCAACATCTCTTCCATGAGGGCTTAAACTCCCCCCGTTCGTCGTTCTCCCCCTCCCCCTCCTTTTCCCCTGATGGGCGCAGGTTGGAGCGGTTGCAGCAGGATAGTCGTTCCCCATCTGGGCGCAGGAACAAGCGCCCTCGTTCCGATTCCCCTCACCAATGCTTAGAACTTCCCCTTTCCCGTCCTCCCCCTCCCCCTTTTCCCCGGGTGCGCTCAGGTGGGCGCGGTTGCAGGAGGGTAGTCCTTCCCCATATGGGCGCAGGGGCAGGCCTCCCCGCCTACCAATCCCCCCCTCACCAATGCTAAAAATTCCCCCCCTCTTCCCCCTTCCCCCCTGATGCGCACAGGTGGGCGCGGTTGCAGCAGGGCAGTCCTTCCCCATATGGGCGCAGGGCCAAGCCCCCCTGCGCCTATGCGCGCTCTCCGCCTCCCCATCCCCCCTGGTGCGCCTGGTGCCCGGATCCGAGGTCATTGTTGCCCCCCGCACTAGGGGGGCCGTGGGGGAGGGCGCGGAGGGGGAGGGGGAAGGTGCAGGAGAGACGATGATAGGTGGAGGAGGGGGAAGGGGAGGGAAAGAGGGGGTGGAAGGGGGAAAGGAGGAGGGTAAAGGCGGGAAGGGAAGAGGTGGAAGGGAGAGGAAGGTGCGAGTGTGGTTGCGTGTACAGCCCTTTGATTGGTCCGTCGTTTTAAGCCAAGCACACGGCAGCTCCCGCAATGACGTGGCACTCTGTGATACGCGTGGCTCGTGCATAGAAGGCGCCAGTCCGACAGGTGACTGCCACGTCAGCAGCAAGGCAGCTGTAGCAGAGAGTAGCAGCAGAGGAGGTGGAGGTGGGGAGAGCGGTGGGATGGCAGTGGTGGAGCCAGCAGGGTGTGTGTTTGTGAGCGAAGTGGACTGGAAACGAGTGGGCGGGGCACAGCTGCAGCACGGCTCTTCTCCTGTGAGACCCTCACATGCAGATGCAGCAGCGCACAAGAGCAGTCGTGAGAGCGAGGCTGAGGGTGTGAGTGGGACCGTGGGTGAGGGTGTGAGTGGGAGAGGTAGTGGAAGTGTGAACGGGAGTGAGAGTGAGAGTGTTCACGGTGCAACAGCACATCCCCCTCTTCTACTCCTTCTCCATGTGCCGGCATCAGCCCGCCGCCCTAAACCCACCAATCAAGGCCTTGGATCCAGCCGCTCCAGCCAAACTCAGCGGTTCTCCTCGCGCTCCTCCGTCCCTGTGCGGGTGCTGCCCTCCTGCCACGTGGCAGCAGGCCATTTGATGATCCCTCCGGCCCTCTCCCTGTGCCTGGCCATAGACTGGTTCTCAAAAGTGCTCCTTAAAGGGACTATAGGTGGTAGAGAGGGGTGGAATGCGGTGGGGAGTGGTGATCAGTGGAATACGGTTGGGGGTGGTGGAGTGGAGATCCGGGATGGTGTAGGGGAGGGAGTGAGTGGGGGAAGCATCAGAGGGAGTGCAGGGAAAGGGAGTGAGAGAGAACCCTCTCATGCACCCCTTTCCTCCACTGCCTCCTCCTGCCTCTTCATTCCCCCTCCCCACTCTCTCTTCCTCACCCCTCTTGTGCTCTCTGATGCTGCTGCAGTGGGGGGTGAGGGGACAAGAGGAGGATCAGCGGGAGCAGGCGCAGGAGGGGGCGCGGGAGGGGGAGCAGGAGGGAGAGGGAGTGCCGTTGGTGGTTACTATTCAGAGAATGACCACCAGCAGATGCAGCAGCAGCTGGATCCGCAGCAGCAGGTGCGGTTGGGAGTGGTAGGAGTGGGTGCTGCTGTGGAAGCAGCAGAAAGGTACTGGAGAAGAGTAGCTGGGTGGAGTGGACGAGAGGGGGGAAGGACTAGAGAAGGAGAGGGAGGTGGTGGATTGGAGGGGAGAGCGAGGTCGGAGAGAGAGGAGGGCGAGGGGAGGGAGTCTGGGCGTTTTGAGGCGGTGGAAAAAAAGGATTCAGGGGTTCGGGCGCTGGCGTGTGTGTTGCTACAAGAAGGAGGGGTGGGGCAAGCAAGGGGAGGAGTGGAGCAAGCAAGGGGAGAGATGGGAGTGCCTCTGGTAGACGGTGCAGTGCTGAGGCTCCTGTGGTGGGATGGAGCGGAAAGGACCGGAGCGGAAAGGACCGGAGCGGAAAGGACCGGAGCGGAAAGGACCGGAGCGGAAAGGACCAGAGCGGGTCAGGGTGGAGCGGATGGGGACAGAGCTGCAGAGGGGGGTGAGGGAACAGCAGCGGCAACAGCAGCGGCAACAGCAGCATCACCACTGGCAGCAGCAGGAAGAGTGAGGGACGCTCACTTTCTTCTCACCTTTGGCTCTCCGCCAGGGGGACGCACTCGCCCTCGCCCTGCTGCTGCTGCCGCTGCTGGTGCAACTGCCTCCAATACTGGTACTGGTGTAGGTGACTTCCCACACAACACACATCGACAGCAGCAGCAACAACAGCAGCAGCAGCAGCAGCAGATGGCAGCGTTGAGTGCTTTAGCAGGGGCAGTGTTGGGAGGGGGCGTGGGGCTGGGAGGGGCTGCAGGGCAGGGAATGATGGGTGTTGGTGGACCCATGGGGCCCGGCAGTATGGCAGGGGCAGGGGGGATGGGCCTTGGCAGCAGTATGGCAGGAGGGATGGGGTCAGGAAGAAGCATGGGAGGAGGGATGGGCGCATATGGGAGTGCTGCACCAGTCCCTGGCTCTATCTCTCATGGGTCCACACTGGAATCTTCAGATAGACATTCAGATGGACCTTCCTCTGAAGTTTCCAAGACGCTTCCTGCTGTCCGGGCGGCTGCCAGCGAGGCAGTGGACAGCCTGGCGTTGCTGGCGGCCGTCCAATCGGAGCGCAGCACTGTAGCACTGGGAGCTCCCATGGAGTGGGCTGTTCCCTTTACAAGCAGCCCCGGACTCGTTTTCAGCCCTGTGCAGGCCCAGTCAGTAGCATCGTCTCATCTTAACTCAGCCATCTCTCCCGGTCACTCCTCTGAAAATGTCTCTCCTGTGCTTTCTGCCCTGCTGCCCCTGCCCTCACCCTTCACACCACCATCACAAAGCGCACCAGCAGCACTGACATCAGTGACACCATCATCATCAGCAGCAGCAGCAGCAGCAGCAGAAATAGCAGTCACACCACCTCTAGACCATCCCTTCTCCTTCACACTCTCCTGGATGCACCAGCCAGCCTCCACAGCCCTCTCTCGTCTCCACGCCTCTCTCTCCCTCCCCTTCCGCCGCACCCGTCGCTCCCTCCGCCTCCCTTCCACAGGCTCCATTCTTCTCCACGGCCCCCCTGCCAGTGGCAAAACCTCCCTAGCTTCGGCCCTGGCCTGGCAGGTTCGGAACGACCGGACCTGCCTCGCGCACACGGAGTTTGTCAGTTGCTCTAGGCTCGGGTCCGAACCTGTGAAGGAGGTTCGGCGGGTGCTGGGGAGGGCGGTGGCGCGGGCCAATGAGAGGGCGCCAGCTGTCGTTGTGTTGGACGATCTGGATGTGCTGGTTCCGGGGGCGAGTGGGGGGCCGGAGGAAGGGACAGGTGGCGGCGCGGGATTGGTGGAGTTCATTGCTGATCTGATGGATGAATGCCAGGTGAGGCAACTGTCGGTTCATCTCAGCATTCGTGGTTGCCTCAACATGCCAGGTGTGGTGTGGTGTGGTGTGGTGTGGTGGGGTGGGGTGTGGTGTGGTGTGGTGGTGGTGCATGCACATGTCTTCACCATTGCCTGTTGTGAGTCGACCTAAAGTATGGATGTCTCAGTGCATGGGGATGAATGTCAGGAGGTGAGTACCATACCACGGCTCTCTCACTCACTCTCTCCTCGCTATCCCCTCTCGCTACTGTCCTCACCTCATTTCACCTCACTCTCCCCCGCCTCCCCACTCTCCTCACTCTCCCCTGCCCTCCATATTCCAGGCTCATTAGGCCCCCATCGCCTTCCTAGCCACAGCCCCTTCCCCATCCGCCATATCCCCTCAACTCTGTGCCGCATGTGGAGCTACCCCCCATGGGGGAGGGCCACAGAGCAGCGCTGCTCGTTCAGTTTCTGTTTTGAGTCTGATGTTTTTTTCCCTTTTTCTCTTCACCCGTCCCCTTCCTTTCTTTCCCGGGCCCACCAATCCCCCATCGCCTTCCTAGCAACAGCTCCTTCCCCATCCGCCATATCCCCTCACCTCCGTGCCGCATGCCGCTTTGACACCCCTGTGGAGCTACCCGCCATGGGGGAGGGCGAGAGGGCAGCGCTGCTCGTTCAGTTTCTGTTTTGAGTCTGATGTTTTTTTCCTTTCTCTCTTCACCCGTCCCCTTCCTTTCTTTCCCAGGCCCACCAATCCCCGATTGCCTTCGTAGCAACAGCCCCCTCCCCATCCGCCATATCCCCTCAACTCCGTGCCGCATGCCGCTTTGACACCCCTGTGGAGCTACCCGCCATGGGGGAGGGCGAGAGGGCAGCGCTGCTCAGGCGGATCCTGCAGGAGAGGGGGATTGGGTGGCAGGGAGGGGATGCTCTGCTCCAATCGGTGGCCGCCAGGTGTCAGGGCTGCGACGCGTCGGATCTCGAGGTGCTGGTCGATCGTGCCGCTCACGCGCGACGAGGGCGTATGATGTTTGAAGCAGGGAGAGGGAGGAGAGGGAGTGGTGGGGATGGGGACGGGGATGGGGAAGAGGATGGTAAAGGGGATGCAAAAGGGGATGGACAAAGGGATGACAAGGGACAAGGAGTGGAAGGGAAGAGAAGAGAGATGAAGGGAGGCAGAGTAGCCATGATGGTTCCAGGAACAGCCCGAGGAGAGCAGCGGCCGGCACAGGAGCAGGTGGAGCAGGAGCAGCGAGTGCAGTCGACACAGCAGGTGCAGCGGGGGCAGCAGCAACATCCCCTCCTCCTCTCTGAACCAGACTTCACAACCGCCCTCCAAGGCTTCGTCCCAGCAGCAGTGCGCGGCGTCGCCAAACTCTCCTCCTCCTCCGACCCCTCCTCCTCCTCCACCTCCTCCTCCCCCCAGCTAGGCTGGGACGACGTGGGAGGAATGGCCGACGCCCAAACAGCCCTTAGGGAAGTCTTAGAGCTCCCAGCGCAGCACTCCCATATCTTTGCCTCCGCTCCTCTCCGCCTTCCCACCGGCGTGCTCCTTTTCGGCCCTCCTGGGTGCGGCAAGACTCATATTGTCGGCGCCGCTGCTGCTGCGTGTGGGATTCGGTGCGTCTCTGTGAAAGGCCCCGAGCTGCTGAATAAGTACATCGGAGCTTCGGAGCAGGCGGTTCGGGGCGTGTTCTCCCGAGCCTCCCGCGCTGCTCCGTGCATTTTGTTTTTCGATGAGTTTGACGCGATTGCGCCAAGAAGAGGGCATGATAGCACAGGGGTGACTGACAGAGTAGTGAATCAGCTACTAACGGAGCTTGATGGTGTGGAGGGGTTAGAGGGGGTGTTTGTGGTAGCAGCTACGAGCCGTCCAGATCTGATCGATCCGGCTCTGCTGCGTCCTGGACGGTTGGATCGGCTCGTGCTCTGCGATTTCCCCGGGGAGGAGGACCGGCTGGCGATTCTGCGCGCGCTTTCCAGGACGCTTCCTCTGGGTGCTGACGTGGACCTTGCTGAGCTGGCGCGGCGCACGGAGGGGTTCAGCGGGGCGGATCTGCAGGCCTTGCTGGCAGATGCACAGCTGGCGGCAGTGCATGCTGTGCTGGATGAGAGTGAGAAGGGGGGAGGAGGGGAGGATGGGAAGGAGGGAGGAGGGGAGGGTGGGAAAAGGGGAGGAGGGGAGAGCGCGAAGGGAGGAGGAGAGGAGGCGGCGGCTGGGAAGGAGAAGAGAAGTGGAGATGGAGGGGAAGATGCAGCAGAGGTGGAAAGGGGATCAGGGAGGCAGGCAGTGGGGGCTGAAGAGGCAGCGGAGGAGGCACCAGGTACAGAGGACCAGAAGAAGGGTGGGAGAGCGAAGGCAGGAGCAGCAAGGAAGGGAAGGAAGGGCAGAAAAGGGAAAAAGGTGGAGGTTGTGGAGGCAGGGAGGCCGGTACTGGGGAGGGTGCATCTGGAGCAGGCTGTGGGGAGCGTGCGGCCGTCCGTGTCAGCAGCAGAGAGGCAGCGGCTGTCGGATATCTACGATGAGATGATGGGTGCGAGGAAGGGGAGCAGCGCTGCTGCCATGGCTGAGAGGAAAGGGAAACGAGCCACGCTAGCTTAGGAGTCAGTGTGCCTGGTTTCACTGCAGAGATGCAGCGACTGTCGGATATATACGACGAGATGATGGGCGCGAGGAAGGGGAGTAGCGCTGCTTCTATGGCTGAGAGGAAAGGGAAACGAGCCACGCTAGCTTAGGAGTCAGTGCTCCTGGTTTCACTCCAGAGAGGCAGTGACTGTCGGATATCTAAGACAAGATGATGGGCGCCAGGAAGGGGAGCAGCGCTGCTGCCATGGCAGAGATGAAAGGGAAGAGGCCACCTTGGCCTGAATCGGCCACCGAATTTGTGTTAGCAAGTATAGAGCAAAAGCTTATCAGTTGAGAAGCTTAAGCAAGTAAGGGCGCGTGTGATTTTCAAAAACTGCAATGTTTACATTTTCTAGGCGAAATTCCCCCTTGATTTTAGGGCGAACTGTAGTCGAATTTCGCTGTTATCGAGGTTCAAACCTCACGTTATTTTTCAATTCAATTACAATGACACAACTTTGGTCGAATCTCGAGATTCGACCTTATAGGTTACCCGGTTCCTGACACGTGGTGCTCTCTGACATCGCGACTCTTTTTGCGTTTTCGGCAGGGCGACTTTGCTTTCGTGCGTCTGGGGGATTTCGCCAAACCATCCAGCGAGCCCAAAAGTGCACACGTTCGATTCAGCGTGCGCGCGCATGTTCATCTAATGAGTCGAGTCGAGTTCATATACTCAGGTCGCACTTGTCGTGTGTTCAAAATGGGAAAGTTTCGCCAGACTCTTCTCACGACATTCAAGAAATTGGTAACCAAGCTAGGTTCGACCTAGTTTCTGAACCTGGAAACAAATCACACGCGCCCTCAGAGTATGGCAAACAGTTGAGCTATCATTCAGTGTGTCTGGCCTCGGTGTGTGTACACGGCAGGGAGTTCTGTAGGTTGCTCTGTCAAGAAGAGAATGAATGAGTCTGAGGGCATACAAGGAATGCAGCGTGTTCGATGTCATAATTTTGAGATAGCATGTTTAATATTGGGAGGTACAAGAGCTGTGTGAAATACCTTAGCTATTGATAACCCAAAATTTGAAGATTTTACGGCACTTTATTGCGCGAGACTAAACAAGCAGAAGCTACCACGGTGCCGTGATTTATTATCCTACACCGAATTGAGAGCTTCACTCCACACCACACTAAAATTCGTGGTCATCCGAAACCCTAAAAGAGCTCGCTATTAAACACCATCTTGTAAGGCAGGTCCAGCATAGCCTGGAAAAACGGCGGCTCCGGAATGTTCCAATCCTTGAAGTACGATTGTGTCGAAACCGCCTTTATCCCGATATCTTTCTTCGGGCAGGAAACAAAACCGGGGTGTTCCGCCAACACAATCGAATTCTCCGAAACCCCGAAATCTTGATTTGCATAATCCGCGAATTTCATGTCCTCGCCGGTGTACCTGTAGACGATCTGACGGTTCAAATAGTCCGCGCCAGGGTTTTTTTCGCAGTACCGATATTCTGCGTCCCTGAGAGAGTCCGGATCGACAACGATGTATTCCACGTCGTTTTCCGTCGCCATTCCGCTGCACGCGCCGGTGTCGTGCGCAGTGAGCGCGCCGGGCCCGGGCGGGTTGCAGCTGTATGCGCCGATGCGCGTCTGGCGGCACACGTGCTTCATCCACGGCCATTCCTGGTAGGGGGAACAAGGGAGAGGGTGGAGAGGGGTGAAGAATGTTGGAAAGGGGTGGAAAGTGGTGGAGAGGAATAGAGAGGGGTGCAGGGAGGGAGGGGTTGGAGAGGAGGAGAGGAAAGGAGTGGAGAGTGGAGAGGGGTGGATAGGAGTGGAGAGGGGTGGATAGGAGTGGAGAGGGGTGGATAGGAGTGGAGAGGGGTGGATAGGAGTGGAGAGGGGTGGATAGGAGTGGAGAGGGGTGGATAGGAGTGGAGAGGGGTGGATAGGAGTGGAGAGGGGTGGATAGGAGTGGAGAGGGGTGGATAGGAGTGGAGAGGGGTGGATAGGAGTGGAGAGGGGTGGATAGGAGTGGAGAGGGGTGGATAGGAGTGGAGAGGGGTGGATAGGAGTGGAGAGGGGTGGATAGGAGTGGAGAGGGGTGGATAGGAGTGGAGAGGGGTGGATAGGAGTGGAGAGGGGTGGATAGGAGTGGAGAGGGGTGGATAGGAGTGGAGAGGGGTGGATAGGAGTGGAGAGGGGTGGATAGGAGTGGAGAGGGGTGGATAGGAGTGGAGAGGGGTGGATAGGAGTGGAGAGGGGTGGATAGGAGTGGAGAGGGGTGGATAGGAGTGGAGAGGGGTGGATAGGAGTGGAGAGGGGTGGATAGGAGTGGAGAGGGGTGGA